TCCAAAAATATAATAAATAATGAAGATACAAACTTAACTTCTAAACCAAAGCCACCAACATATTTTGGAATTAGAGCAGCACTTCGTATAAAAAAAGTAAATTTACATAGATTAGAAGAAAAAAGTAAATTTATCGATTTTGTAACAAACTAGCCACAGGAACTAGGAAAAGCTTTAGAAACAGTTGTTTGGCGGTCAAGATCTGAGGTGTGTTTGCAAAAAAAGGCACTTGAAGCATCTAATACTTTTCAAAAGTTTCACGATAGTTTTCCTAAATCAATAAAAGAGTTATTTAATAATCTAATTATTTTTATTTTACAAAAAAAATAGAAGATTGTATAAAAAAAACAGATACAGCATACTAATCATTATAAGAGAAAATTAGAAAGACAAAGGTCTAATAACATTGATATATCAAGTAGACTTCTAAGTGGAGAAAATATTTAGAACCTGTGTATCATAAATAATATCGATATGAAAGAAAGCACATTTCCTTATGATAATATTTTTGATTCATCAAAGTGTATAGTACATGCCACCTTTAGAACAGTTTTTCAATTTAAATTACCAAAATCTTTGTCTAGGATTGCTGCAGAATATAATTCAATTTCTGAATTTAAGTTTGAGATTGGGATGTCAGATTTTACAACAAATGAGCTTCGAAAATATGAACATATTTTTAGATTCTGGTAATAATTGTTCTAATGTTTATGAGTTTTGGCAAGAGTTAAAAAAGGATATTCAATTAGGATATAGTATAGATTTACCAAAGGTAGTTATTTTAGAACCTGGAAAAAATCTATGCAGTGATGAAAATGTTCATGATGCTGCAAAAATGTATTATGACGATATTGGACTTGATTGCAACGGACATCTATATTTAGTATCTGATGAAGCTATTTTTAGACGCCTTGTAAAATTACATGAAAACAAACCAGAAATAAATTTAATATTAGGTGGATGACATACATCAAAAATAATGTATGCTACATTACTTCACTTTTTTCTGGATATAGAATATACAATTTAGTAGCTAAGTTAGGTGTAACATATTTAGATAAACTAGATAAGGTTGTTGATTATACAGCTACTTGTTGTGTTCTCAAATTAATCTGGATTGTTGTAGGTAGTGCTCTTAATCAATATGTAAAGAGTCGCAACAAAACCTTAGATAGTATTATGAATGAAAACAATAATATAGTAAAAGTTTGGTATTTATTTTATTGTTGGGCAGGTCTATGGATAGGTCATAAACTCGGAATTCAGCATGGTAATTATGACATACAAATAAAGAATCTTTCTGCATTTGCTCCACTCTTTCCTGTAGTACAACATAGCAACTATGCTCAATCCGTTACATATTTTTTAGCATTTATTGGAAAAAATTCTATTTTACAAAAAATTCTTAGTTATGTTGGTTCAGTAAATTTAACATGTCCCAGTCACTATTTTGCCTATGATGAGGCTATTGAAAGGTTTGGAATTAAATTTATTAAACAAAACATTGGTTCTATTTTTCGATCATTAGAAGATTTAAAAGCAAAAATTATTTCTATACAAGCTGAGCAAGAACGATTAAATTTAGTTTTAAGTGAGTATATTGATGAACCCTTATTAGTACTAGTTGACCAAGCCATTAAATCTTATGATGAGGCACTTCAAAATTTAACAAATCAATTAATAGAAGCATTTAATTTACCTGATCCTACTAAGCATCAACTGTTTAATGAAACATCACAAAATACTGATCTGGGATTTCAAAATTTATTTGAATGTTATGATCATGGTATTAAGCGTTTACAAGATATCTACAAACAAGATATTGAAAAATCAGAAATACGTAATACAACAGGTTGTCGTGCTCAAAATGTTGTTGTAGATACATATTTACAATAGCAAAAGCGTCAAAATGAGCAAAAAAAAAAATCAAAAAAACGAAAAGTTGATCATAATGCTTCCTCAAATTAATTATTCTAAAATCAAATACAATTTTTAGTTAGATTTTTATAAATTTTTAATTAGGCCATGTACATAAATCAAATTGGTTCTCATAACCCGGCCAGGTGACTTTTTAAAAACAATCAAATATTTTTTTATATTAACATATATAAGATTATCATACGTGTTATAGACTATAATATCATGTAAATTCTTAACTGTGGTGCATATATTTCTATCAGGTCAAAAGCTTATACTGGCTTATGGCTTTTGAAAAAGCAAGGCCTTCGGATACTAGCCAAATTCAGCAGACATGGGTCCTGCTGATGGAATATAATGTTGTACATTGTTATCATCAATATGGAATTGAAGTTGATACAAGGCCTTCGGATATCGGCAGATATAGGTTCTGCTGATGAAATATACTGGACATTGTTATCGATATGGAATTGGTGTTGAAAAAGATGAACGCAGGATCTTCTAATATTATCAAAAATCAGCTGATATGGTTCTGTTGAAATATAACATTGGACATTGTTATTGATGTTGAATTTGAGTTAAAAAGTACAGACACAGATGAATTCTGCTAATGGGATATATAACATTGGACGATGTTGTTAATATGGAATTGAAATTGAAAAGTACAAACACAAGGCTTTCGTATATTATCACAAATCAGCAAATATGGTCCTGCTGATGGAATATACAGTATAATGTTGAACATTATTATCAATATGGAATTGTGTTGAAAAGTACAAACACAAGGCCTTTGGATATTATTAAGAATCAGCCGATATGGGTCCTGCTGATGTAATAACAGTAAAACACTCCATAAGTGCACCATCTATTAGGCCTAACTACAGTCAGACCTCTCTAAATGCACGCCCTTGGAACCATACTTTAACAACATGCATTTAGAGAATAATAAGAAAAGTGCATTTATAGAGGTTCAAGAATATTTGGGCCAGAAACTGAGCGTGCATTTTAAAGAGGGTGTGCACTTATAGAGGGTGTACTTAGAGAGGTCTGACTGTATATAGATAACCTCCATAAATGCAGTTTTTCTTATTGTTTTATAAGTGCACATTGGTAAGATTTGGTCCTAAGCGCGTACACTTACAGAAGTTTTACTGTATAACATTGGACAATGTTAATATGGTGTTGGTGTTAAAAAGGACAAACACAAGACCTTCGTATATTATCAAGAATCAGCAGATATGGGTCCTGCTGATGGAATATACAGTATAATATTGGACATTATCATCGATATGGAATTGGTGTTGAAAAGGAAAAACATAAGGCCTTCGGATATTATCAAGAATCAGTCGATATGGGTCCTGCTGATGTAATATATAACATTGGACAATGTTGTTAATATGGAATTGAAATTAAAAAGGACAAACACAAGACTTTTGTATATTATCAAGAATCAGCATATATGGAATCTGCTGATGGAATATACATTATAATATTGGACATTATTATCGATATGGAATTGGTGTTGAAAGGGACAAACATAAATATTATCAAGAATCAGCCGATATGGTCCTGCTGATGTAATTAATATATAACATTGGACAATGTTGTTAATATGGAATTGGTGTTAAAAAGGACAAACACAAGACTTTCGTATATTTTCAAGAATCAGCAGATATGGGCCCTGATAGAATATACAGTATAATGTTGGACATTATTATCGATATGAAATTGGTGTTGAAAAGGACAAACACAAGGCCTTCGGATATTATCAAGAATTAGCCGATATAGGTCCTGCTGGTGGAATATCCAAGGATAAGCATGTGGGAATAGGGAATTTAATTACTGTATTGAAGTTCCAACTTAGAACTTTTGAGCATGAAAGCATAATTGAATGGGATCCATTTGATAAACTAAATAATATTAAAAAAATCGGACAAGGAGGATTCAGTGCTAGATTTTCTGTAATTTGGTTGGATGGTATATGAAAGGTTAAAAAATTAGAAAAGAAACATAATAAATAACGGATCATAATGATGAGTAATAAATTTTTAATAAAACAATAAAATGCTATAAAATGTTGTTTATATATGAGTGTCGCTAAAAGAAAACCCGAAAATTTAAATATAAGTCATATTTAAATTTTCGGGTTTTCTTTTAGC